CAGATAAATATTTATTAGTGTAAGGCTATACTATTTCTTTTTTTTCAATCTATGATCATTGGTAACTGTAGTAATAGTAAAATACTCAAAATCTGACCTTTTTTCTTGGACTCACCGCTGTGTAAAGGTGCTTGATCAAAAATCTTTACCTGATCACGGTTAGATTAGCCATGCTGAGCATTTCTTACAATAATCAGTCACCTCAGATTTTATACATTACTTTACATCAACTTATAATTTGAATATATTTTTGAATCTTATCATCGTTAACTTCTGGTTTCATTGGCTTTATGGTCGTTGCCTATGGAGAGATTCGGATAACAGTAATGTCAACTTCTGAGGATCCGCTGCTCTTTTCATAACCATTGAACATAAATAACTGACACTCGAAACCAAGCTTACACTTACATATTTGGCATATTCACTCTTATGTAATTAGTTTAATTAATCAACTAAGTGAACTTTCTTTGCAATTCTCTTTCAAGATTATTCTCTGTAGTGAGTTTGTGTAAGCAGGCTGCTGGTCATTCGCATATTAGCGTGAAACAGCTATTCAACCCCTTGTTTTCAGTAATTATTTAACCAAAGTTATTTCGTGATATGAAATATTAAATTATTTACATGTTAGTGAACTGACCTTATTTGATTGCCATTGAACTTTATATTCCAATGTAAACTTAATAATTAATGTTAAGCCATAATGAGGAACTAATTAAAAAATATGTCTTCGTTGAAGTTGGATTTGTAATTAACTTGTTGTCTTATTCCTTTACTCAACGAACGAATTTTACAACACTAACCCATATTTTATAGTAGAGAGATATTTTTACGGAATTTCAGATCTATAAAGTAAATTCTACTAAATCGTTTCCTCACAATACTGCTCACAAAAACAAAAGTTTTACCCCAAACCGAAATTTTTTTTCAGGAGTCAGTAATTTCGATAAAGTGAGGAAAATCAACAAAATTATTTGGTAAAAAGTGAAAACTATACGTTCGGCACTTCATTTGGAAACCCTCCATGAATTGTCTTGAACAACCACATTCTATTCCCAGTCACTTCGATTCGATTTTCTCAACCTTCTGCTGCCAGGCATGCAACTTCTGATTGGTACTATATACTACTTCTGTAGACAAAAGTATCATACACCACAAGACTACTTATTGCCAATAGTGATTTCAACCTTTTGAATATATATATGTTTTCATGTTTAACATTAAACACAATCCGATATTAATTACCTACTTCACACTTTATCAAACGTTGATAAAATAGAAAGTATTAGACTATAGAATAGTTGGGATGATTACTATTTTGTCGTGATCTCACTTCATCATTATTACTTAACTTTTCCAACTTAAAGTTTCATATTTTTCATTACATTGAAGATAATTCAACAGAATAGCATTGTTAGCAATATTTTACTGCATAGGATAATTCTTAAACTCATTTTATATTGCTTGTTTAAATCTCCCCATTGATATTTATAACTGCAATTGATCAGTCTCCCAAGGGCATATGCGCATACTGTGAGTATCGCCTTGTTATTGTCACAAGCATCATCAAACAGAAATCGTTGGTGACTGGCAGTGGAATACAAGATTCACGTTTCGTCCTATTTGGGACTAGTCAGCTAGACGTAACTGCATCCCAGAGCTGATGTTCACTTCGAGACTCGAACTTAGGACCGTCAGCTTCAAATTCTATAACGTTATTCACTTAGCTACTGAGTCCACATAGCCATCAGCTTGTCATTGGATGAAGTTTAAATTCATTCAGTATTGTTTGTTTGAACCTTCCGACTGATGTTGATGATGTTTAGGACGAATGTACTAGATGATATTTATTTCGTGTTGGCTTATAAGAATAAAATGAATGAGATTATATATATATATATATATATATATATATATATATATATTATTTATTATTATTTTTTATTATTATTATTAGCTTTATTCAATATTATAATTTTGATACAATATAGAATTCTCAGCGCAAAGTATTTCAACAAGTTTCCGTTTCTTTCTTCTTGGTCGGTCCTGGCGATAAATATTGAGGAATCGCCAGTTAGATGTTAGCACTTCAGTGAATGAACAACTGAATAATGTACATTCTTTTCGTTGTACATTGCCAGCAACCATATTGTCTCTGATTGAGTTTTCTGTAACTTTGACAACGAAAGGTTGTACACTTTTCAGAAACGCAGCAGAATAGGTTATGCGATTAATAAACATAATGATATATTAAAACAAACAACAATAGATAACTTGTTGAAATATCTAGATGGCAGGAACAGGTAGCCCAGATGCTCAAGCAGGCCGCCCTTAGTTATCGTTGATAACCTTTTTCATTCCAATCCTTTACATCCACTTGTGTCAACTTTTCGAAAATTATATTGTCTTTATAAACAAGTCAAATCTACTGTTCACTGAGTAGAGCTGGATTCATTCTAATAAAAAGGGTAGGCTAAACAAAAAGTTCTCTTTTCGGCAAATTCATTTTCAAAGCTGTATAATTACAAATATATTTACTTATTTTCATCCTGAAAAAATAAGTTTATATATTCGCAATTGTACAGCTTTGAAAATGAACTCGCCAAAAAGAGAACTCTTTGCTGAACCTATCTTTCTTATTTAAAATCGTAATAGGTGTATTCCGTTCATTTTTATACCTCTGTTATTCATTGTTCACCATTGGTTTTATTTGATTATTTTTATCATGCTATAAATATCCTGTTAGAGATTGTTTTTTGTTTTAATATTTCTTGAGAAGGATTTGTTTCACTTCGTAAATATGACATTCTTTTTACCGTAATTTGTAAATCCCAACAAGACAACTGTAATGTCTCGATAATGATTTATAAATATTGGGATGTTCTTATTTTTGAATCTGTTATCGTATTTTCATTGTACGTATTTCGTTAAGTCTATGATATATCTGTATGCATAGTCATTTACTCTTTATACTGTAAAAAAGAAAAATTATAACTCTGTTATGTTTTCTTTCTATTTTAATTCAATCCGCTCTAATAAAAAGAATATTGCTTTGACTTCTTGATTTAGCAGTAATTGTTCTTCTCACATCTTTATAACGTTTGCCTAGTTTAATTATGAAGGCATAATTTTGTAAACTTTCTATAACTTATTTGATTTAAGATTGACAACTATAGTTGTCCTAACGATTAAGTAATGTGACCATGAAATGTCAACACCTTTCAAGTAAATATATCTAAGAAAAAGAGAAATCAGCGAAGAAAATTTTCTTTTCGACGAAATAATTTACTTAAACTGTACATTCGTATATAAAGTTATATATCTAAGGTTATATTCATCCAAAAACGTCTTTTTTTCAGAAAATTAAAGCACCGCAGTGCTTACAAATATTTATCAAAGCTAATCTAAATAAGTTAATGACGAGGCGGGGTCATGGATGAGCACTGCTGAGGAATCCCATTCTTAGATGAAGCGGCCGTTCAGGTCTTCTAGGTTTTTTCATGGTGGTCTAGCTTCAACTGACTCATGAATTCAACTAATAAAATTAATGACGAACAATTGATAGATCAAACAGAATTTTATGATCTCAGTAAACTCATTAATTCATTCGACACATACACTTGTTTGTCTCAAACTGTGAAAATGTAATTAAAGTATGTTGCATACTGATATAATTAGTATTAACGGACAGTAAGTTTAGTTAACTAATTAATATAAACCCGTTGTATTTAGTCGAATTTTCATTTGTTAACACTGAACAGATCATAAATAATAATTAATGATGAATACATATCGTAATCATATGTCTCAGTATACTGGGTGATAGGAGTTTGTTGACAAAAACTCTGGACCTATATTTCATGGTGGTTCCTGATAACTAGAATAATGTAACTCCATTTTCAATCTGGATGATGCTCCAGTAGAGTTCAAAACCGTTTTTATTCAAACTTACAGTGTATGAAGTGGGTTCAAATTCCACCGTACACATCAAATCAATTAAAATTGCAGATTTAAGATGATGATAAATTTAGATTAGTGGCCGCATTATAACTTGATTCATAAAATTTTGTCAGCACTTAAATCAGTAGATAAACATAATGTAATCATTACCCATTGATTAGTCAATTTAACACCCCAAAATAATTACTCGGGAGAGAACTAGGTCGACAAAAACTTTCTATTTCTCAATAACTTAAAGATGACTGAACAGAATGTTGTAGTCCCGAATATTTTCTAGAAAATTGTACTGATATGAACATAATCTGTATGGTGGTATGGCGATTCTTAAATTTCTTCGAAGGCATTAAACGATCTAGGTCAGACTGCCATTGAAAACCTGAAAGCGCTTGATGGGGTTTTTGTCCTCAGAACATTTGGAAATCGTGACAACAGCCATCGAGTTTTGTCCTCCTCAAAAGTGTGCATCCACAATCCCACATGTAGAAATCAAGTCCACAACCTTCGGTGTCCCGTGCGGTTGCTTGACCACATGACCACCTCCTGTTAATGTCTGTGTCCACAGCTGTTTACATCCGGTGAAATGTGTCATAGCATTTCACGGTCTACTGACATTTACCCATATACAAACCGAAAAGGCAGTCACATTGTCGGATTTCGTGTTTCCCACAGTCTCTGATACAAATCTTGTCAACAAAATTCGGATTTTCATTTTATATACTTCGCTTCTTCTGTTTATATAGTGCGGATTGTAGATATTTCATTTTCTAGTGAGTTACACCTAAAATCCAGAACAGACTTAGTTTTATCCTCGAACTATCTTTTTCAGTAAAACAAAAACATCTATTTTCTGGTTTTCACATTTTGTTTACTGTGAGCCGGATTACTGTTCTTTCATATTTGAAAGTGAATCTTTGAACTATTGGTTGTACATTGTCATATACACTCAGCAAAGTGTTGAAACGAATAACTCATCTTAATCGTGCATATAAAACATTTTTAGTACATTTCAACTTGTAACAAATTTGTTGCATCAATTTATTTAGCTCTTATGCATGCTGCAGTTTTTGGCAATGTCACTGCTATTATACAACGAATGTATGCACGTCGAACGACTTTTCAATCAAAAGTTCAGGATTTAAAAGAATTCATCGAAGTATATCGAATACCTAAAACACTTAAAAGTAGAATGGAGGATTTCTTCCAGACAACATGGGCGATTAATCGTGGAATTGATGTGCCAGAAGTAGGTATTTTGCCTGCAATTATTTAAATTATTCTTAATTCACAAATTTTATTGCCATAAATTAGTTTAAACAAATATAAAAGGTTTGCGCAAGATTATGGTTCGACTGAAGTTAAACATTAACACCACTGGACTCCAGCCCAGTGGTCCTGGGTTCGAGCCCCGTGTGGCGTCATGGATGCGTACTGCTGAGAAGTTCCATACTAGGATGGAACGACCGTCCAGTACTTACACGTTTTCACTGATGTTCTAGCTTAGATCAACTCATGAACTTAACTATTAAAATATAAACCAATCATTATTAAATACACTTGGTAAATATTTTTCACCTTCAAATTCATTTAATTTGTTGATGTTGAACTCTATTGGACTAAACGTTTTGTTCGTTAGGTATATTCATTTCACTGTAGATATATCTATATATTTTGTATTATTAGTTTTAATAATTTTATCCAGTAGCACAGATTGTTTATCAAGAACTATTTGTATCAACATGGTGAGATACATAAATTAACTTGGAACACAAAATATAATTAATGGTTTCTCATTCACGCTGACTACTAAACAACTATCCCGATGATTTAGGAATTTACATTAAGTTAGATTCACTCTTATTGTTTATATAAATTAGTAAGTTAGTATAATTTAATACTACCTAATAAAATGTTATGAATGGTGTTCTGGCAACAAAAGAACAAGAATAAATCATAAGCTGTGTAAAGTCGAAACAATATTTTTGATATATGCATAAATTGATAAATGAGTAGGTTTACAGAGTTTTCAATAGCAGTTGTTAGATATCTAACAGTACCTAGTCTGATTTATTTACAGTTATAAATAATTAGCAACGAGTAAGTTAACTCTGTTCTTATCTCTGCCTCTAATATACATTTAATTATACCTTATTTATGTTTAATTCAACAAATTGTTTTTTACCAAGACATAATTATTCAAATTACCGACTATCTTCCGATCTAGTTTATTTAATAGACCGATACTGGATGGTCTTATACAGGATATAAATAAGTATTTTAATTTAATGCACTCCCGTGGTTTGGTACATGTAGATTTAAGTAAGTTTTGAATCACAATATATTTTAAGGACTGTTATACTACATAACTGCTGAAAGAGAGCAATATTCCAATCTAATAGTTAGTACCTAGAAGGTAACTAATTTAATCCTCAAGCTAGAGTTCTACAATGAAGTCATATATGAAATGACAGAGATGATAATGTGACCAAATTACGCATCAGATGACGAACAAGTGATTAAGTATGAACATAACTGTTTCATAGAAGTTTCGTGGTTATTAATCATTATGAGAGGTTTACAAAGACTTTTAGATTTTTATAGTTTATATCATGGGATAATCTTAGTTAACCACGAATAACTGGACAGATGTTTTGTATTATACTGGGACTCCTAGGTATGGTGTATCCTCAAGTCCATTGATAATCAAAGCCAGTACCTTTGGGTCTTGTTATAAGCACTCACGATTTAAGCCACTGAGTCGGTATCGAATGATGCACACTTCTGACTTCAATCAATTTCCAATAATTAGTGAACGTCTCACATTTTCACTGGTGCGTAACGGTTCGACAATCAATATACTCAAAATAACATAGCTCTAGTGGGAAGCCATGGCCAGTAAGGTTAAAAATGTTGACCACTAGATACCGACTCACTGGTTCATAGGTTAGACGCCACCAAACAGAAGTTAAGTTAAAGAGCTCGATCTTCAAAATTTTGGTGTATAGTTTCTCCCTAGGGGTTTCATGCTAAGATGAAGCATCTGTCCAGCGTTTCCTAGCTTCAGTCAGTAATGTAAACGCAAACGTCACTACTCTTAGCTGCTATCCATTGTAATAAACTGGAAAAAAATTAACTAAGGCTTTTTCCTAATAACTTTCAACATTGAAAAGTTAGTATACATTTTCTTGAAAGTTACTTATTTATTTTTCTGAATGTAAATATTACCGCAGACTACATTTTACTATTTAAATAGGTGTTGAAAATTTATCCAGAAGAATTACAAGGTGACATTTATTTACATTTAAATCGTGAAGTACTTGGATTGAAAGTATTTGAAAAAGCCAGTCGTGATTGTTTAAAATCTTTAGCCATTAATTTTAAATTAACATTTTGTACACCTGGTGAATATTTAATACATACTGGGGATATTCTACGTCGTTTATATTTTGTATCAAACGGATCATTAGAAGTTTTAGAAACAGATGAAGTGGTTGCTTTACTTGGTAAGATAAAACATAAAATTTTGATAAATTAGATAAATTGCATTCATTGTTACTGATTATGTAATATAATCATAGGGTTTGTCATTTGATAATTGGCAGTTTAATGTTCTATCCAGTATATAGTTTGGTGAGTATTATTATACAAATTCAAAGGATCAACTATTAATTTTGATGAGGTTTTGTTCTCTGAGCTGGATGGTTTGATCGTGGAGCTTTCTTCTACTTGAAGTTTGTGCTGATGATGTAATTCCAAAAAACGATGAAAGCTCCACGACCAAACCATCCAGTTCGGAGAACAAATCTCCATCAAAATCATCCACTGGAGCTACAAATCTTCTCCACCATCTCAAGATCTACTATCAAACAGATGTTTTGAAACAAAAATGAGTCTCATGAAAAATACTTTTAATATCACTGAGGGTTTCAATTAAGTGATATATTTGTGTTCTGATTCACATTATATTTACTGACTATATTTTGATTAGGGTGTTTAGGAAGATTCATTAAATTCGGTAACAGCTTACGACATGGAATGATCAGCCTTAGAATTATTGAATGAAAATTATGAAGAAGCTGAAAGATTTATGAGATGGGAAGTATCTACAACTAGGAAACTGACAATATCAGTCACCTATAAGTTGTAAGGTTAAAATTTAGAGGATTTATACGTTCCAAAGCATGAGCAAGTGAAAATTACATAATGAGGAATATGAACCTGTGAATATGCAAATAATCTGTTAAACAGCAGGACTGTAGAATGGATGCACAACATGTTCAGATTATTTCCCACCAATTTAGTGCGCACGTTATTAAATTCATACTAATAAGCTATATGCTAAACAGATAACCATCTGTGTTAAATTCATTCTACTTGAGATCATGAACCGATTGATGTTACCATCGTTGGAAACCTGGAAACAGTGGACGGCCGTTTCATCCTATTGTTTGATGATAGGCACTAACACCATTGAATACCGGCTCAATGGCCCAGTAGGTTAAGCGTTCACGCCCGAGACTCAAGGCTCTGGATTCGAATCCTGCGAGTGTGATCGTGGATGCGCACTGCTGAGGAGTCCCACGATGGGACGAAACGGTCGTCCAGTTCTTCCAGGTTTTCAATGGTGGTCTAACAATAATCGGTTCATTATCTCAATCAAAAACTTAATAATCTCCACAACCCCTATACTGATAATTACATTCATTCTGTTTGAATAACTTCAACACCTCTGAAAAAAAAACGTTCATGGAGGTCTATTCCTCAAAAGTTATGGAACGCTTCTTATGGTTTGTTTGAAGAAAACGTGTATACAACTGTACCATGACGTTTCCACAAAAACGGAGGGGTTTAGTATTATTATAGTTATCAGTCATAATACGCATGCCATTTTAAATCTAAAGTTAAAGGTCTACAGGTTATTCTCATCTTTATTTTCTGAATATCTAGCTAAAACATATTTATGAAATCCATCCATGATTGAAGTGCGCTCCACAAGCGATCAATTGAAGGTTATATGGTTATATAATTTATCTTAGTTTTATCATAGCTACTAGCCAATATAGATAGCAATATAAATACCTAAAACATAGAGCCTTTTGTTTTTCTCTTTTAGGTAAAAATGATTGGTTTGGTGCATTTTTAGAAACCGATGTACCAATAAATGGTACAACTAATAATATATCTTCATCATCGTTCCCAATTATACGTTCAAGATGTGATGTAAAATCATTAACTTATTGCGATCTACACTACATAGATTTAATTACATTAAGCGAAATATTAAATCAACATCCACGTTTTAAAGCTGAATTAAAAAGTTATTTATACGAAGATTTATCATTCAATATACAAGAAGGAGTTGTAAGTGTAAACAATTTAATCATTTTCTGTTATTTGCAAACTATATTTTCTCATGTATTAACATTATATGAATAATTAAGTTAATTTGTTATAGTGTAATGAACGTGAACACAAGCAAAGATACCCAGATGTGTTTTAATACAACATTAAAGAATAAATATGATGGTAAAATTTGGGAACCATACAGTAATACTTCATTTGGAAAATGTCCATCAATTGTCTTAATCTTTGTTGTTTCTTCGTTTGCATGCCAATCACTCTCCGGTCTCAGTCTCTTCTCTTCGATTTTCTCAACCTGCTGCCACGAGGAATTCAGCTTCTGATTGAAAATACATACTATTTATATCTGTCGGAGTCAGTAGCATGCACCACAATAGTACTGGACAATTTTCAGCAACTTCACAATAGTTAACAATTTTAACTGCATACAGAAGTATATTCCTATCTACGGGATCACATTCCATCGGCAAATAACTATTAGTTTATCTTTAATTTGATATAATGAATGGGTCAATGTTAGGCCACCATTGAAAATATGGAAACAACTGGCATCAACACCATTGGATGTCGGCTCAGTGGTCTAAAGGTCAAGAGTTTTTGCATGATAGCGAAAATCCTAGGTTTGGGTTCCGCGTGCGCGATCTTGAGTACTCACTGCTGAGGAGTCCTATAATAGGATGGAACGACCGTCCAGTGCTTCCAGGTTATTTTTGGTGGTCTAACGTTGATCTATTGATTATGTCAATCTAATTTCAACAATCTCCACAACCCTATAATGATAACCATGTTTAATTAATATAAAAAATGTAGGAGAAACCCCAGTCAATAGCTTAAATGATTAGCCCTTGCAGATTACTTGAAGATAAATGTTTTTCAATGATATTCAAATAGTGTTGGATATTCACTGCATGTAATGTTGAACGTTCTTTCTGCAACTTAATAAATAAATATTTCACGCGGAAGCGTGAACAAACTTATATAATTAAAGACGAATGTTTCGGACTATTGTTTTTTCTAAACATAAAATCTTCAATGTTTAGCTCATTTAAAAGTTTATCATTATTTGAAAATAGCTTTAACATAGACTTTTTGAGGGAATTGTTCAGTTTCAGGATAATTTACACAACCGACAGTTCTTAGTATCACAAAACGTTAAAACAAGTAATCAAAAACCTTATCAGCACACATTCATAACATCTGTAGGTATGGAACTCAGCCTCAATATTCAAGTGTAACCACCGAAATTCTGGTTCGAAGTCGTGACCGTTAGTGTCAAACTCAATTAGTCATGAGACTGGTTTCGAGAAGCAATGAATGATGGCGAAATATGTGAATCAGTGAAGTTAATGACGAAACTCACTCGTCTTTTAGAGTTTTAGTCACGAACTGATGAGTATTCTTATATTAAATCAAACTGCTATACGGTGCCCCGTAGTTTTTAGTGACTATCTATGATGTAAACTACTTTTTACAAAAATGTATTTTTATTAGTGAACATCAGTCATCGTTGTAATGATGTTGCATACTTACATTCACAGTTTGAAGATACTATGTTGTGTAGTAAATAGTTTAAATCAGATTTATTGATGTGAAATATTAAGGAAATGATGTACTCAATTATTCAACTCTTACCACTAATTATATGAGAACAAGAAAAAGCCGAGAAAACGTGTAATTTGAATAATCTTTGCAAATTGAGTACATTGTAAAAACCACATTTTATCGATGAAGATGTAAGAGGGGAAAAAGTGATTTTGTGAAGTTTTTATAAATATGTGAATTAGATAAATTGGGATGAACGAATATGGCTTATGTTCCAATGGCATGGTGAATGAAAAAAACCTAAATTATTTTCGATAAGATGTATAGACAAAAAGAACTTAATATTGGTAAATATACATAGATTCACCAAAATTTAATATATAAGCACTAAATGATAAGCATCCTACAAAAATGCTTAAAATTACAAATAAATAGGCCAACGACAAAAAAATATAATAATTTTCCTATAAAGATTATTATTAAAACGAGACGTTTCACTGCTGAATAATAATTCAAATGAAATTATATGGATTGATACTGCAGTTTTACCATACAGCCATGGTGCAACAGAAGAACTCCAAAGAATTTTAAAACAACACAGGATTAAAGTATATTACGAAACAACAAGCATACACAAAACTACATGGAGTTCACCGGAGCACACTACACTGAACTAGATCGACCATATCTGCATCAACAAAAAGACGATGTAGGATGTGAGAATCAAGAAACTACTATGGAGAGCAACTGGAACGGCATCAAGGAGGCAATCACTTCAACATAAGATGAGGTTCTGGGCCACAAGAAGCTGGATTCCGTGAAAATCGATTGTGTACAGACCTAATCGCAACTCTGCGGATCATTGTGGGACAATCAATTGAACGGAATTCATCACGCTATATCAACTTCACTGACTTCGAGAAAGAATTTGGACAGGACAAGACTATGCAGGCATCTGCGACACTACGGTGTGCCTCAGAAGATAGTCAGTATCATACGGAATTACTACAGCGGATTAAACTGCAAAAGCGTGCATGGTAGAAAGCTGACAGACTCGTTCGAATTAAAGACCGATGTCAGGCAAGGTTGCTTACTCTCACCCTTTCTATTTCTCCTGGTGATCGACTGGATCATGAAGACGTCAACATCTGAAGGGAAGCACGGGATACAATGGACATCTAAGATGCAATTGGATGATCTAGACTTCGCAGACGATCTGGCCCTTCTATCCCAAACTCAACAACAAATGAAGGAGAAGACGACCAGTGTAGCATCAGCCTCAGCATCAGTAAGTCTCAATATACACAAAGGGAAAAGCAGCATTCTCAGATACAACACAACATGCACCAATCCAATCACACATGATGGAGAAGCTTTGGAAGATGTAAAAGCCCTTACATATTTGGGCAGCATCATTGATGAACATGGTGAGTTTGAAGCAGATATGAAGGCGCGGATCGGCAAAGCACGAGCAGCATATTTACAACTGAAGAACGTCGGGAACTCAAAACAACTGTCTGTAAGCCAACACTAAGGTCAAAATTTCCATTACAAATGTCGAGACATTTTTACTGTATGGGGCGGAAACTTAGAGAACTACGAAAGCCATCATCCAGTAGATACAAGTGTTTATTAACAGTTGTCTACGCAAAATACTTTGGATCCGTTGGCCAGACAATATCAGCAACAGCCTATTGTGGGAGAGAACAAACGAGATTCCAGTGGAGGAAGGAATCATGAAGAAGCGCTGTAAGTGGATAGGACACACATTGAGGAAATCACCCAACTGTGTCGCAAGGCAAACCTTGACATGGAATCCTCGAGGCCAAAGAAGAGGAAGACTAAATAACACATTACGCTGAGAAATTGAGAAAGATATGAGAAGAATGAGCAACGACTGTATAGAACTAGAAAAGCAGGCCAAGGTCAGAATGGATTGGAAAATACTGGTCGACAGCCTATGTTCTTTAGGGGAGTAACATGGCTAAGTAAGAAAGTACAAAACAACGAACACACTTCAAAATACTTTAGTTCACTTAAAAAAACAGACTCCCCATTGTGTCAACACAGAATGTTTTTACAAGTTAAGATGTGTAGATTGTGATGCCTTCTATATCGAAGGGTCATCTTACGAAATCTTGACTCGAGCCAAAGAGCATATTAGGTACACAAAGAAACTACCTAACAATCCCGTACTACGTATTATGTTTGGTATGAATCACATTTCACACTGTTATCGTAGCTACATGTAGTGTCAGTTATTATGCCAAGCCCATATACCTTATTCTAGCTTCCGGACATCCCATTTTATTCATTCTACTCGAGCCATACTTTGACCTTGTAAATTATTCGCTTATCAATCTAGACTGTTTTTATATGAGCGTATATGCGTGTGCCCTTCTTATCCTATTAATCACATGTCTGTAGCTTTATTTTGTCTGACTATAAATATTGAGTAACGCTTGACTAAAATGGAGTTGGCTTCCCAGCCATCCTCCCTACGTGTCATTGTGCTCTGCTCTGTTTCATATACGAAATATATGTATTCTCAAGTCAATTCTCGTTATTCGACTTATTTAATTCCGTTATTGGATAACGCTATTTAAGTCGACGATGATATACGAGAAAAGGCGATAACAAACATTCCATACAATCTAAAATGGAGTCAGATTCACAACTACAAAATACGACTTAAACTCTATCCTTTCTCACCACCAAGGTCACATTTTTTCACCCCTGACCCTGCACACACACAAATTTAAATACATGTCGCATATAAGTCACCTTGACTGGAATGACATAACATTGACTTGTTCAGATCTGTTTTTGATTATTCGCATCAAATATTCTTTACATTCACTTATGTCAATTGTTTCACACTAGATCGTGTCCCAATTTTATGTTCTAATATATATTCGGTTGTAAGCAGCTGACGAGAAACCAAGAATATATTGAATTCATACTATTCTGATTTTGTTGAATCTCTAGTATAAGGGTTGTGGAGATTATTAAGTTTTTGATTGAGATCATGAACCGATTGATGTTATATTCTTCCTTTGTTCCTTTTTATTATTTAAACTTGGATTAATTTTGATTTGGTTACTTATTCTCTAAAGAAATAGCTTATATTAAGTTACGAAATGTCAGAAAATCTAATTTTTCTACTCACTGAGATATTACAATTATATTATTTCTATTTATAGAAATATCTACATGTCATTCGAAACTATGTTATACAATCTATAAGTTAAAATCATGTTTGCAGTTGTTTCTTATCAAAACAGATTATTAACAAACATTTCTTTATTTAGGAAGATTTGCACTTTTGTATATTAAATAGTTTAAAATAAAGGTAGTTATCTGCACATAAAAAAATTCGTTTACTTCTGTCGATAAAGTTATTGCTTACTTATTTTACTAGCGAATAACTTTGATATATATTATGCAGTATTATGGCGATAATATAACGTTTTACTAAGCAAAGATAGATAGTGGCTGGTAGCAGAATCCAGGACTCATGTTTCATCCTATTTGGGACAAATCAACTGGATGTACCTGCATCTCAGAGTTGATGTTTGCTCCTAAACTCGAACCTAGTACCGACAGCTTTAAACGCCATCGAGTTATCTACCTAGCTACTGAGTCCAGATAGCTACCTGCTTGTGCGATGGGTTTACTAACTGTACCACACAATTATCAAGGTGTTTTGGAACTTTAATGTAAAAAGACAATTAAACGTTTTATTCTAGCATTGCTATTCGAACGTTCACGCACATAAACAATCGATAGAAAATAAGTCATCAGTTTAGGTGTTGCAGAGATTGTTAAGTTTTTGATTGAGATCATGAACCGATTAATGTTAGACCACCATTGAAAACCTGGAAGAACTGGACGACCGTTTCGTCCTATTGTAAGACTCCTCAGCAGTGCGCATCCACGACCTCGCTCGCGGGATTCGAACCTAGGGCCTTGAGTCTCGGGCGCGAACGCTTAACCTATTGGACCACTGAGCAGGCGTCCTGTGGTGATAGTGTCTAACATCAACCAATCCACGAAATTGTGCGACCATCTTTCATTGTGCTGAGGTAGACACCTTTTTCTACCCGACACGGATTAGCTCCACTGGTCACGGCTTCTCACCAGAACTCCGAGAATTTTCTCACATAGCTAGTCATTAGTGAGCGCATGGTAATTATCAGTTTAGGGGTTAATCCTTTAAAATTATATTTTACTTTACTTTCACTTACATTAGATTATAACTTATTGTATTGGTAAATGTATGTAAAACTGTTTATCTGAATTATTAAAAAAAGCTGAAAACTTTCAAGTTATGGGTTCAACAAGCAATAATAACTCTCACTTCTTCTATATCTTTCTTCATCGTTAACTACAAAATAGAAATCAACTCTCGTATTACTATTTAAAAATCATATTTAGCTAAGTTATTAGTATTAATGTCATAAATATGAATAACGTACATGTCTCTTAAATAATGAATCGTACATAATCATTGAATTATGTAACATAACCATGAATATGAACTGTCCAAAATACTAAAAAGTTGAACAACAACAACTTTATCTAATCCATATATGGAGTATATTTGACTATCTGGTAATACTTGTTCATAATTTATGAATATCTAATAAATAAATAAAATGCAAAATATACTTTCTTGAAGTCAAAACTTCAACATCACAAGCATACAACATTGTTATTAGCATATTTCTATACTTTCAAATTTATTTGGATAATGTAAGCTTCAAAGAATTGAGTTTGTATTTTCTTCATTGATTTTTTAAAGAAAAAAAAACAACCCTGAAAGAATGATGATTTATTTAAGATTAGAGGGGAATAGATATACCAATACTCATGTTTCTATGTAGACTGTCATGTTTCTTTATATATTAAGATGTTTAATTAAAAGAATTCCAAACTTGTCTGGTGTGTGATTAAGGTAAACCAAGAGGAAATTTCAAGTTGGATATCTGCCTACAAACACTAAATGTTATATATATTTTTTTGTGTTTTTCCTTTATTAGTACCTCTTGTGAATTATTAATTAGTTTCTTTTAACTTATAAGGTAGATACATTTATTAATTTGTGTTCAATATTTCAATGTATTAGTTCCCCTTCATACTTTAACTCTAGAAGATAAGTATGAAACCTTAATATTATAATAATATAAATATTATAAAAAATATACATAAATCATGGAAACAATATAAGTATTGATTTTCTGAGGTGCTCCCAATGAAAATAAAATTGTTGACGTTTAGTCTCATAACGAACAAATGTCAGAATGTGAAACAATAAGACAGCATAATTATACTTCCACCAGTAAAATTAAACTTAAAAATGTTAAACAAATGAGAAGTGATTTGAATTTACAAACAGTTTATGATATCTAGGAGTGAGTAGACAGCCACTGAGTTTGTTACTCAGACTACTGGCTGCTTTTCTGGTCACTATGAAACAGACCCATACAAAAAAACGCAAGATCTTCTCTTAGAACTAAAACTGAAGCGTCAAATTTTATGAAATCGATTTCATTCACAGATTAAAAGTAATGTAATTCCATTAAACCAAAGAATTCTATCACTATCACAGTGGAAACATATGAAATGATTCAATGAACGAATACAAACAAGCACAATAAGGCCACAACTGAAATTTCTAAACTTAGGATCTGTACAGAATTATGATAATGAGATATGCTTGACTTATTATAAGCACTACAAAACCTTTCAAATAGCATCAGTAAGCAAACGGTAGGAAAAGTTTAAGTTCATTTGCTAAATTACTGTTAAAATGACACAACTATGAATGAAATAAACAGAAAGGAACATTTTTATAAATGAAACCTAGCAACTACTTGTGACATAACCAACAAAAACTTCTTTCACTACTCAGTAGTCATTCAAATAAAAAAAATCAAACTTTAATACATATGAATGAAAATTATAGTGGTATAACAAATCCCTACACTTTTTCGACATTTGACCACTATATTTTATGTGTTTCATATGCAAGAGAATCTTATTAACTGGTCACTCATTACTTATATATACATGATAGTGTAAGAAATTCCTTTAGACCTGGTGAAAGTCAATTACAAGCTACGTAATCATTATAAATTGACAGATCACTTTTGGAATCATTCTAAAAAGTTAATTTAGATTTAGGATAAAGTTTTCTTATGTTGCCTAGAACTTTTATCAACTAAACGATCTATTGCTTAAACTTCCCAGTAAGCGAAAATAAATAATAGATACAGTATAAAACTATACAAAATACTAAGGGATAAAATTAATCGACGTTCTGTTCTTGTTTGAGATTGAAAATTGAATCCATATCAAGATAAATGATATTGTGTAGATTCTGGAAGTAGATATATTCATGAACTGATATCATCTGGCAGACCTCTGAAAACTAAGGAATACCGAACAGTTGTTTAGTTTTAGTTTGAGGCTTTTCAGTAGTGCATAGGTATCATCGAACTCATAAGCCTAAAGTTTCTTACACTTCTAAAACAAACGAAGAAATAATAAATACAAAAGTTAGTTCTTGAATTTGTAAATCCGGTTTATTATAAACAGTACACTATTTCTTAAATGTCACTCATTGGATGATATTCTTTGATGGGATAAAACAAATCAGTGTATTATATAATTTGCATCGTAACTGATATTTGGTAGGCAACAAATGAAGACCAGGAAGCATTTGACACATATTTGATCCACGTATAGTGTCTCTCTGTGTTGGATGTAAGGCAACTATCTACATTTTACGTAATATTATGAACTAATTAAAATTGACAATAAAAACCACTAGATCTCAGTTCATTGGCTTAGTCCTTGATAGAATTGTACGTACCCATTGCTGAGATACCCCATACTAGAATGAAACGTCTGTTCAAAGCTTCCTAGTTTTTAATGACTGGTTAATTAAACTTTGATTATTATGAATGATGTTTTCTGCTAAATACCTAATAGAGATTGCTTATTTCTCGTCACCATAGTTACATGTAAGTTGAACAAATAATTTATCTCAGCATGTCATTACATCTAACAAACATAATATAACTTGATACGTTCGTGTAAATCTTAATTTAGCGATCGTTATTTTTCATGTAAGTACCGTACAATGTGAATTAACAGATGACGATTAATTGGATTCTACGTAATGAAACAAACTACAGTTGTTTAAATTATGCATACCAAAACTGAAACATATTGATTTTTTGTCATTAACCAGACAAACATGATCACTGAAGAAGAAGAAGAAAAAGAGAACTTCCTTTAATAAGAATCCCTAGATATATAACAGTTAACCGAATTCATATCAATCTAACTTATAATGCATCTTAATGTAGAACAATTAATCAAATCATTCTTGTAAATATCATAGAACACATTAATCTGACTTGCAAGAATTCATTTTCAATGAATAACCACTGTAAAGAAAATACAAGAAGAAATTATTTAAGTTCATAAAATATGCTATTTGGTTTCACGTAAAACCTTGAGTTATACTACAGTTTATATAAAGATTACAATGTAAGCTAAATGTATAATCATTATAAACAAAGATGGATAGTGACTAGCAGTGAAATCTAGGACACGCCTTTCGTCCTATTTGGGACTCATCAGCCGAATGTACCTGCAATATCGAGGCAATCCGAACAGTATGCACATATTCCAATAAGAGACTGGTCAATTGCAATATTAAACATCAAGTAAACAATACCAAGTGAATTTATATGTTTAATCCATGTGAATTCAGTAGCATAAAAATCATCTATGTACTGTTTAAGATTTTCTAGTTTATGATACCATGGCATCTATACTATTTTTCTCTCTATACTTTTCAAAGTATTTTTTTTCGAATATATAGGAAAATTGTCTGTCACATGATGTGATTACTGTTCCAGCTATTACATTACAATTAGCTAATGATGAAAAAGAGTGGGAGGATAGTGAAACTAAATTGAATGTTATTAAAGATGTAGAAAGTTTGAAACCGCCTAAGTTTATATTTGACAATAAAGGAAGAAGTTGTAGTTTAACAACATATGATGAAGAGTCTGGCCTATTAATTCCTCATGCAAATGATCGATCAAATTCGGAAATATCAATTACTAAACCATTATCAACAATTACAAAGCCAACAGTAACGGGAGCAAATCAAATTGCATGGCAATTTAGATCACCAACTCTTGGGACAAAATATTTATCTCATTATCCAAGGCGTTTGCAATCAACGGATAAGATTGTAACAAGACGAAGATTTTTTCTACTAAAATCATCTAAATCATCCGGTTGTTCAAGTAATCTAGACTTGACACAAAAGTCAAAAGAGAATAAGTCACCACCTTCTAATTATAAACCCATAGAAGAGCTAAAAGAAACTATGAGTCATAAAACATTTACTTGTAATTTGAAATCATTTAGTCCTAAACAAAATCGTCGTCATACTATGCCAACATTTGAAGCTCAAAATTCTGAATCAAAAGCAACAAGTTCTAGTGTGATGAATCAATACCGAAGATCTGATCGTCATACAGATGATACATGGATATTTTCAAATCATTCAAGTGGAACACAGTCAAATGACGAATTATGTTCATCAAGCATTGCATCATCACAGTGTTTATCATATAATTATGAAAAAACTCCTTTATTATCCGGTCAATGTCTTTCAATTCCAAATGTAAATTTTACAGAAAATACACAACCACAAATAGTATCTAGTAAGCCTATATGCGTATCTATGCAACTGACACAATTCAATTCACTTAATTGTGATATTAATACAATTTCAACATCTAATTTGTAAGTTGATTGTTAATTTACTTTGTTTATTTGTACATTGTTTAGTAAGAATATTGGATTTAAAGTTAATCTACGTCACAAGTGAGTAATTAATGAAAATTAGAGATCATTGAACAACTGTCTTGTCGTGAATTAAGACTCTTCATCAGTGTGTATCTATGACTTCATCCTAGAATAAATCAACAATCTTTAGATATTTACGTAAACTTTAATTTAATTTCTACTGCATGAAAATGCTTTTTGAAGATAACAAAGTGTTGGATGGTTATTATTTCAAAACTCATATGTGTCATTAAGATTTAAACGCCATTAGTTGACAGTATAAGAAATTACAAGAATTTTCCGATATCACTGATGTACAGTATAGAATTTGACATAGGAAATGTACTTAAATGAAAGAATTCTTAAAATTCCAGCTCTTCGAATGAAACTTTAATTTATCATGATTAACTATCATCATTACTGTTTTATACCTTAATATAATCGAAATTTCACCGTTTTTTCATCGATCATCCTAAATAGTATATTTAATCCCAATTGTTGTGACCGTGACTGCAGATTAGACGGCAGTGAATTATCGATCGGACCAAAAGACGCTTAAAACACGTGAGGACAACCTAGAGTCCTGATTGACCCTGCTCTCCTGTCTAGACCAGCCAGTTGAGGCCAGAACGCAATTCTCAGTCTCTGAGAAATGAATCGTTATATTTCAAACATACTCTGTTTATATACTAATCAAGCAGACCACATCGTACCATAAAATAGAAAATAACATTTGTACAATATTTGGCCAACAGGAAAATGACACCATCTCAAGTCCAAGGATAGCGTTAGACTTAACAGAATAATTTTTGGGATATTTTTCTGAATATCCCAACACCAATCACACAAGGTACTTAATTTATCTAATATTTGGTTATGGTTAAATACTGCTAAATATTTCAAGATGGTGAAAAACATCGATTTTATGTATCTTACCTGAAATAATCTTCAAACTGATATCAGTTTTAATATAGAAGTTAATGAAATTTAACATTAGTTGTATGCCATATATTCAATTCGATTTTTTTTTTACTATTTCATTACATTTAGATGTTTATATACACCAAATACTTCTCCAGTCAATTCAATTTGGTCATGTACAAATGATTACAATCCTAATCGATGTACATTATCAAATCGTGTCTATCATTTACAAGGCAGCAATTTCAATGAAATTCATTTAATTAATGAATTACGTAATTTAAATAATCGTTTAGAATGTATAGAATTACAATTTACAAAATTATTTAAATTAATAGAATCTAAGCAATTTTTATAAATCACAACAAAAACAACAACAACAAAATTCCAATTTCATCAGTTTTATTTATATTTTCGTCTTTATTATTATTATTTTTGTTTGTTTGTTTCTAGATTTTGTCTATGTTTCATTAGCCATAGCAACAACCTTGAAAAAAACAACACAAAAAAATGATTATTTACTTAGCATAATATGAACTAGAGAAAGAAAAGAAAAACGATTCATCATAAACAAATATAATTCAGGTTCATATAAATGAATAGTCGTATTAGATTTTCAATAGTTTGTTATGTAATGACTATGACTACATATCAATATAATCTAAAGTGAATTCAAATATAAGTTATATACGATCAGGGAAATTATTTTAATGACTTTATTGATTAATTTATATCCTAATATGTTATATGAATTGAATCGGTTCGTTTTTGTTGTTGTTGTTGGGGGGTGGAGTTTGTTTTAATGATTCAGATAATCAGTATATTTCATTGATAAATAATAAATAACAAAATATACATATAAACAATATTATACTGTATTATGTTAGATATTAGAATAAAAGTTAATATATATTAATCATTTATGATGTAATTGTATATACCTTTTTAGTCGCTAAGTGATTTCATAATATTTGCATGATTTAAAATAATTACCATGGATAAATATATTATTTTTCTCTTCTTTTTTTCCTAAAAATAATCTTTGAAACATCACAAATGATTCACATTTTTATGTTAATTTATAATTAATAGTCATGTACATCTAGTTTTCCATTGTAAATAAAATAGATTAAGATTTTAGTGTATTTTTTTAAATTTTGGTTGACAATAGAATCTTTCTATCTGAGACTTATCAGCTGGATGTAACTTCAGACACTGTTATGCGAAAACCAAAAGTAATACAATAATAATCTTGAGGAAACTGATGCTTCTTGACGGATTCGATCTGATACATATGGTATTGATCAACATTCAATGATTAATCAATTGTGATTACATCTCAGTTCTATAGGAACTCAGTTACGGCTCAGATAGCCCAGTGATAACTTTTCTGACTGTGAAGCTGAGTGACATGAGTTGACTCTTCAAAACTTTGTTAACACAATATTTAAAATGCATTCAGAATGCGTATTTAAAAGACTAAGTAACCTACTGAATATTCTACGGTTTATAAATATCTGATATGTGAAAAACAATTCAAACAAGAAATGATTTACTTGAGCCAAAACTCAGACAATGTTATGTTGATATTTTTAATTATCTTAGCAACATATCGTTTAATCTGATACGAACTCCTAACTGTTTCACTCTAAAAAGCTTTTTGAAATGTATATGATGTGATACTTCAAATAAGAAACAACTTAAACATAGTATACTTCAATATATTAACAAAATATGTAGTGCTAAACACGACAAAAAGACGCGTAATCTGCTTAGTTTCCTTTTTTCAATCGAAAATCTCAGCTTCATCTTGAAATTGATCTAGCTGATTAGTATAGTTAATTTGTGTGACTATCAACATATAATTTCGGTTAGCGATTTCTGCTGCTTTTTCAAAAGTAGATTTCAATAATTTTTGTTTAAATAATTTCAAGATTACAAGTACACCTTGCTGACGAGTGCTAAATAGCACAAAACCCACGATTTTCTGCTGACTATCTTTAACCATCATCTTCTGACTGTAAAACTAATTCTGAATAAATGTTTTCTCTCTCTCAAATATTCATCAGTATAATAATCTCCAGGTAATTGTTAGTAATATATAGTTTTCTTTTTCTGAAAACTTTTTTCAAGTTTTAATATTTGAATTGTACGGTAGTGAACAGAACACGGGTGGGAACAATCAAATGTATTTAACACAAAATTACAGGACTTGTTAATAAAATCTAACAATCATAAAGTAAACGCTTAATTTGCAAAATCTCCACCAATTGTCTCAAAATGACTCAGACTTCATTGTTCTTGCATTTTCATACAAATTGCATCCATGTTTCCATTCTTTACTGTTCGATCCTTTTGTTTCTCTGCTTCCAAATCTTCTGTCTACGACTAACATCATCTACTACTTATGTCAATATAAGTAGTACACACCAAAGTACTATCAATTGTTATTTATCATTTCAAACTCCTTTTGATGTATCGCTGTTGAATAATGGAATTACAACAAAATTATCTCATAACAAAATGATGAAAAGAATATAAATAGAAAAAAAGCATTTGAAAATAAGTTTTACAAATTGTAAATCAATTGATAGCATGATGAATGTTATACCGACTAATGAAAGAAGGTTGTTTTACTTATTCACATAGAAAAGAAATAATCCACTGTTTATTGTTTATATATTAGTAGATTACATTATACTATTTTATCCTCTAATGTCTACTATACAGTGAATATAAATGAGTATAAAAAACATTAAACATTCATAATTTATAGTATTATTTTTATTAATGATACTAGGTTTATCCCTTTTATTAAACAATCTTTACAATAAGGAGAGAATATTAATGTTTAGAGTAAATATCTGTTGGTTAATTGATGTTTTATAAAGTAATACAATTTCCAGATCTATACACTCTGATACTAAAAGTATTTAATCTTTATGAAAAATATACAAAGATTTTGCCTAGAAAGAACAATTGTCTTCATGAATAGAATAATCAAAGTTATTCTTTCTTTACAGTTAGGCTATACATTTAATTAATTATTGTAAAACTATTGCTTTGGTGTTGTGTTTTTTTTTATTGGGTAGCAAAAAAAAGTACACGTTAGTACATATTTTGCACGAAATTTACATGAACTAATTGGGTAAATGTTACGCCTTAGTAATATAAAATACTGAATATTAATACAAAGTTGGCTACAAGCCAACCACGATTGTCAGTATTTAATATTGTGAAAGAAAGAGGTGGGAAAATAATTACTGGAATGAAATAAAAACTAGGTATAATGGATATGTTGAACAAAATCAAATGCACACTGCAGCATACTGACATAAATTCTGAGAAATTTCACTATCAAAGATATATATTTATTACCATATTTTCATCAACGTATATAGAAGGTCATTTGAACGATACTTTATGTCATCCTACATTCTAATGAAATATAAAGAAAAATGAAAAGATACACAATAGTTTTGAATTTTCAATTTACATGTAAATAATTATTAGTAACTTATGCAGAGCATGAGAATATCAAAGAATAAGCGTACAATTCATTAAACTTGATAATCAGTGCTCAATTAAGAAATGGTCAACTTCGCGACAATAAGGCTTAAAGACATTACTTCAATCTGATCTGATATATACTCAACAAAATGTAGGACGTTAAAACCCTTAGGCCCAAACTTAAAACGATAGCAAAACTGAGACGTACTTATATACTTGAGCTTGTTACCCCTCATGGAGGAGCATAGGCCGTCCACCATCATTCTTCTTCCAACACTGTACTCCTCCCTCCCTACAAGTTGTAACCATATGGTATTCATTCTTTGGATGTTTATCTCCAATTACCAACGCGTTACGTTTTTTGACCTGCCACGTTCCTCTTTGCCTTCAGGATTCCAAATTGACACTTGTTTTGTGATGCAGTTTGGTGATTTCCTCAACGTATGTCCTATCCACTTCTAGTGTCTTTTCTTTATTTTCTCCTCAGATGAAGGTTGGTTTGTCTTCCCTCACAATAGATCATTCCTTATTGTATCTGGTCAACAGACATCGAGTATCTTACATAGACAGTCTCTCATAAAAACGATCTTTATCGTCGTTGCTATCATTGGTGCGTGCATGGCATTGGATAATATTCATTGTGATTCCCTCCTTCTTTGCTTTGAAGGACGCTTTGAAGTTATTGCATTAATGACATTTCGTTTCAATAAGTGCGTTTCGTGATACTTTGGACAGCATGAAACAAACTCGCTGAGCGTATGGAGCATTTTCTTCTTTAAGACCATAGTACAGAAGCATCTCTCTTGAATCTGTCCTTTACCGTCTAGCTTAAGTCCTATGATTCTGAGAACCGTTAAGTTGTATCTCCTTATTTCCAGAGCTACTTGACTGGTTCATACGGTCTCCTACATTGTTCGAACATTCCATGAACATCTATTAGCTATTGCTTTTGTTTCTTCCGTTTGCCATTTAATTGATTCCATTAGTTACAAAATTAGGTTGACTTGAGAATCCACTTCCCGATCCACGAAAAAGAATGCGCATTGAGAACGAAATACGAAAAAAGTTATATTTTCAATAAGACAAAATCCCATAACAAAATAAATCTACTTGGAGATAACGATTGATAACAGCGTTAATCTCTTTCAGTTGAGTTTATTTTGTCACTGATTTTGTGCGGCTGAATAGTTTTTATCATTGCATAAAGGCTTAGATATTTAGATCATCACTGATCACCGGATAAAACGGTTTAAATAAACATTTCATCGATAGCATATTGGTCTATTTCATGCGCTATTATTCAGTTCAACAAACAAAAAGTTTGAGATTTTACAATTTTTATTAGTGATTTGAAAATGCTACTCAATTACAATGAAACTTGCACCAGTAAAAGTGTACGATATCCCTATAAACATTTATGACTAGTTTCTGCACACATTTTGTCCGTCAGAAAATGTGTAAACCAAGACTTAAAAACAATTAAATTCAGGAAGAGATGCATGCTCCCATGCTTTTGCTTGAGTGGACAATAGTGGATTTAGCAGTGAGAGGAACATTTGGTAGTCTCAAAAAAGCTGAGTTCAAAGTGATTCAAACTTACAGTCTACATATCTGCCATCATATACGCCACCGTTGGGTCATATACACTGTCATCTAGACTATTACTATTATACATGAATTCTTGCTCCTTCAAACATATTATTATTATTAAACTATCGTTTTGTCGATTTGCTTGCTTAATAACTGTCAACATAATACACATCTCATAATCAGTAGCCGTGTAAATTAATCCATTGCAAAAATGGTACAGTTATATCTGATAATTAACCATATACTCAAACGATCATCCAAACTAGAAAGGAAATAAATAAATAAAAACTCCTAAAAATCATTCTATTCTCAAACGATTTAAATTATTGTAGCAAATCCATTGTAGTTTCACATCAAATCAAATCAAAATAACTTTTTTTCCCAAAGGTCTTTTATACTAATAATGAAAGCAACTCAACGAAATATGTCATAATCTGGCTAAGATCTAGCTATTTTCATTTATATGTATCATTAACAAACTTTGACTTGATAATTTCGAATAAATTGAGCATTAGGTAGATTATTATAAATAAAAGTAATATATTTGTAGTTATCCCAATGAGTAGAATAAATTAAATTTTCCGACGTTTCGTGACTCAGTGTAAGCCACTTCTTCAGAGAGTGAATAACCAAATCAAAATTAATCCAAGTTTAAATAGTACAATGAAACAACGCAAAAATATTATGTGTTGTTGCCTTATGCTATTTAAACTTGGGTTAATATTGATTAGGTCATTCATTTTCTGAAGAAGTGGCTTCTACTGAGTCACGAAACGTCGGAAAATTTAATTTATTTTCTTCATTGGGATAACTACAAATATATTAATTCATTTATATTTTCATCCTTTTTCTAAACTATGTTTTTTGATCACGGTTTCATTTAAGATTAAGATCAAGAGTTTATTTAGTTTATCTATTCAGTAAATTCACTCGGCCCATATTATTAAAACGATAAACTTAAGAAAATAGAAAATGATTAATGTATCACATTTCATTGCAATACAAAAATGATGAATTCGAAAAACGATGGAATGGAGAAAGAAAAACAAAATGATAAAATGGTTCTAACGTCAAATTTGCATTTTATAAACAGTTACAATTTATGAATTATTCGACAACACTTGAAGACAGACTATACAATCTCCTCAACTTTCTTCTTACCTTTCATGTCGTGTATAAAACGTTTTTCCAATACGGTAGTACTCAGTAAAGTTTATTCATTGGTCGTTTGATTTTGAAGGTTTTTCATTAATGACTTTAAAAAGAACTGCTTTATCTTTATCTTTCAAGATCTTGGGACAAATAATTGATAACTTCAATTTAATTACATATTTTTTCAATCACTTCAATAAAAGAAAATGAATATAGTCATAGTTAGCTCAGTTCTCAATCTTCACTTTTCACATTTAAAACTGTAAATGGGAAAAACGTTTCTTTGCCAATCTGATTATAGATAAACAAGTGATAAGTAACCAACAAAACTATTTAGACTGAAATCTTTTTACTGTGATAAAATTTACTAAGTAAATCTTCATGATATATTATTTTAGCTGAGAAGCAACTTATTCCTGTTTACAACTAAATACCGATGATTATACATTTACATAAACTAATTAAACAGTGTTAAGTAGAAAAAAACTAAGTGCTGGAATAGAATCCATGTTCGTACATTCATGTAATTAATTTTCTAGAAAGCTCCATCATGTTCTGATTAGATGGGAACTCTTTGGGTCTTTTGAGGCCTCTGGAGGCTCTGTCATAGTTCTCGGAAGCCGTTTCAACAATTATATAAAACATTCTCAAATTATAAAATTGTTGTCTACAGATCAAGCCTATCAGTTAAATTCTATCAATGGAAATAAAAGTATTGATCCATTAAAAAAAAAAAAAGAAAATGGACTAGCAAACATTAGCTAGCTAATCACTGATAGGAAAGCATGTAAACACATATGTAAACACTTAAAATAAATGCATATGTATGTTTTTTAAGTAAGTAAACGTAATGCTTAATTTTTATTTGAAAGTAATTCTCATTAACTGGTAAGTGAATGAATGTACTTACTATTTCTCATTAAAGTTTGAAATAAACCAAGATGATTCACTTTAATT